AAAAAAAAAAAAAAAAAAAAAAAAAAAAAAAAAGCTGCCATTCTCAGGTTCATCTCAGCAGTACTCTCCCTCAAGTTTGAGCCATTCTCCCCAGTGCTGTGATTTGGATAAAGTTCCCCAAAGGTCCATGGATTAAAGGCTTGGTCCAAGCTTGGAGCTCCTGGGAACTTTAGCAGGTCGTTATGTCCTTGGGGTTTGGTTTCTGATTGCAGGGGCCCATTCTTCCTTTCTTGTTCTTCTCAGGCATTAGGGATGCAGTTTTATGTCACATACCCTGCAACCTCGTGCTGCCTTACCGTAGCCCCAAAGCAACCAGCCCAATCAATCATGGACCTCCACAAGTGTGAGCCACAGCTAATCTTCCCCCACCTGTCTGGTTTTGGAGACAGAGTCTCACTATGTCACTATGTTTCACTAAGCCTTGGCTTGGTTGCCTGAAATTTACTACATAGACCAGGTTGACCTTAAACTCATAGAGATCTGCCTGCCTCTGACTCCCACATACTGGGATTAAAGGTGTGGGCACAACCACACTAGCTAAACTTTTTTTCTTTATGAGGTATTTGTGACAGGTATTTTGTTACACTGGCAGAGAGTTGGCTAACTACCCAGGACTTTATCTTGTTCTCAGTTACTTTACTGTTTTGTCAGGAACGTCAAGAAGCCATGGAGCCTTGGGTAAAGCTCAGTAGTCGAGGTCTCACCTAGCATGTATAAGATCCAGGTTTGACCTCAGTAACACACACACACACACACAAACATACATACACACATAAACACACATACACATATATATGTATATACACATACATACCACACACACATATATACATACATACACACATACAGGTATACACACATACCACACACACATAAACATACATACACACATACATGTATATACACACATATACATACATACACACGTATGTACGAATATATGTATACACACACTAGACTCACACATGGTCTCAAAATTCATGTGTAGTACTCTCCCAGGACCTCTGGCATGAGTGAAAGTGGCCATTCTTTTCTCTATCTTTTTTCAGAATGTCCCAGCACTCTGGTTGCCTTATGTTGGAATGGGACTAAAGTTACTAAAGCTATCAGATAGATCTTTTTTTTGTTTGTTTTTGTTTTTGAGACAGAATTTCTCCATCTAGCCCTGACTGACTTGGAACTCACTCTGTAGATCAGGCTAGTCTTTTTCTTTTGTTTTGTTTTTTCGAGACAGGGTTTCTCTGTGTAGCCCTGGCTATCCTGGAACTTACTCTGTAGACCAGGCTGGCCTCCAACTCAGAAATCCTCCTGCTTCTGCCTCCCAAGTGCTGGGATTAAAGACATGAGCCACCACTGCTGGTCGAGGCTAGTTTTGAACTCACAGAGATATGCCTGCCTCTGCCTCCAGAGGTGCTGGGATTAACCTTCTCTTGAAGGTTTCTAGGGTTGGCTGCAGGCTACAAGTCCCATGTGCTCAGGGCATGCGCTACATAGCTGCAGATTCCCCAGGGTTCAAAGACGAGTCAGGCTGTGTGGTGAGGCCAGGCATCCCTGAGGATACGGGACAAAAGGCAGACTCCGGGATGCAGAGATTGGGTGTTACAGATGGTCTTACTGGTTGCCAAATCTAAATAGTCATTTTCCTTCCAGCACAGGTTCCTGAAGGGCTGATTCCTGGGGAGAGCCCAGGGTTCTTTCCTAGGAGGTTTGGGAACATCGGTGAGATTGAGCACCTGTTTGAGGGCCAGAGATGGTACTCTAAGGTCCTCCTCCCCTTTGTTCTAACTGCTGATACTCATGCGACCTCTCAACCTCAGTCAGAGGGATTTATTCATTTATTATTGTATGTGTGTGGATGTTTTGTCTGCATGTCTGTCTGTATATTATGTGTGTGCAGAGCCCAGGCAGGTCAGAACATCTGAGACTGGAATTACAGGGTTTTTTTGTTTTTTTGTTTTTAAGAATTATTTTGCGCCGGGCGGTGGTGGCGCACGCCTTTAATCCCAGCACTTGGGAGGCAGAGGCAGGCGGATTTCTGAGTTCGAGAGTTCGAGCCTAGCCTGGTCTACAGAGTGAGTTCCAGGACAGCCAGGGCTACACAGAGAAACCCTGTCTCGAAAAACAAAAACAAAAAAAAACAAAAACAAAAAAACAAAAACAAAAAAAAAGAATTATTTTATTTATTTTATGTACATGAGTATACTGTAGCTGTTTTCAGACACACCAGAAGAGGGTATCAGATCCCATTACAGATGGTTGTCAGCCACCATGTGGTTGCTGGAAATTGAATTCAGACCTCTGAAAGAGCAATCAGTGCTCTTAACCACTGAGCCATCTCTCCAGCCTGAGTTACAGTTTTGAGCCACTGTGTACATTCTAGAAGTCAAAATTTAGTCACCTAGAAGAGCAACCAGTGCTGCTGAGCCATCTCTCTCCAGCCCCTTCTTATTTACATATGAATGAGATGAAGTCTTACATCCAGGCCTCGTGTGCAAATCTATAATTCCAGCTCCTTGGACGAATGAGATAGGAAAAGTTACTAGTTCAAGGCCAACTTTAGCAACTTAATGCAAAGTAGTTTCAGAATAAAAGAGAAAAGAAAGAAGGAAGAGAGAGAGTAAAGAAAGAAGGAAGAGAGAGAGTGAGAGAGAGTGTGTGTTGGTGTATTGCCCTGGCCTCTAATACAGGACATTATAAGCATTCAAATAACCCCACTGTCTCAGCCTCCCAAGTAGCTGGGTCTAAAGGCTCCTGCCGCTGCATCAGACTAAGAGGAATCTTTTCTTTCTTCTTCTTTTTTTTTTTTTTTTGGTTTGTTTTTTCGAGACAGGAGGTTTCTCTGTGTAGCCCTGGCTGTCCTGGAACTCACTCTGTAGACCAAGCTAGCCTCGAACTCTCGAACTCAGAAATCCGCCTGCCTCTGCCTCTCAAGTGCTGGGATTAAAGGCGTGCGCCACCACCGCCTGGCAGGAGGAATCTTGATGTTACTGTCCTGATCACTGTTCTTCGTGTCTTCCTGCTGCCATTAGGATGGAATCCAAACTTCATTCTCAGGGAACTAGCAGCCCTCTCATTCCTGCCCCAGGCTTCTACTGATGCTGTACTTTAATTTCCAACCATGGCAAATCCCTTGCAGTTCCTCTTCCACTCTGCATGCTGTCGTCCCCTCTGCCTGGGTCGCTTTGTCACCTGCTACATGCTTATGGAAGCGCTTCCTTTGGGAAGACTTCCTGGATCCACAAGGAATCTTTTCCTTTCAGTCTGTATGGCTCCTGAGCTTCTGTGGACTCCAAGACTTGTTGAGCATAACAGTGTGCCCCACCTCCACATGCACACCAATTTATGGAGGGCAGAGTTTGTCTTTTTTTTTTTTTTTTTACTCATCTCTGTACCCTCAGAGATCTCCCCTAGTGATTAATAAGAGCTCAATAAATGTTCAGCAATTTTGCCAAGTCTGCAAAGGTAACTTCCCCATGAAGAGGTGACTGAGTTGGATCTGTTGCTAAGCGCTGTTCCCGAGCTGGAGAAGAGAAAGCATGTGAGGAATAGCTGGGGGGAGGGGGGGTCAGTAGGTGCTAGGTATCTCTGCAGAGTGGCCTTCTCTTCCATGCACCTGTCTCCTTCCAATCCCCCAGCAACCAGGCTTTCAGAGCCATCTCTGCTGCAAAGGTCTGGATGTAACAGAGCCAGCACCGCTCAAGCTATGTGAAGCCAACAGTAGCAGAGGTTGGAGAGGCCGGGACCCTGGCCCTCAGGGCCCCCAGCAGCTGCTAATCCTTGTAGATTTCTTTTCAAAAAGAATTCAGCCTCTCTTCTGTCCCCTAAAGGCAGTATTCAAAAATCACACCCCCATGCAGACAGTTTTATTTACAAGGAAATCTTGGCAGGATCTTGACTTGTTAGTAGAGTAGAGATGGGGGAGGGGTGGCGAGAAACAAAAATAGTTGAAATGATCACACTTTCTGAAACCGAGATGAAAATTGGTGCCTGTTGCAAACTCACCTAATTAGGATGGAACTGATTTCCTTCTATGTTTAAGGAGAGTAGTCAGTGCTGGGCGAGATGGTCACAGATTGGATCCTGGGGTTGCAGGATGGAATTACATTTGCCTTAAGAAAATGAAGGCGTTAATTGCAATTTCTGATAATAAAAATATCCTTCTGACAGGACGTCGAGAGGGGTAACGGTAATGCGAAGAGGCTAAAGGGCCTTGGTTCTGTATGTAGGCTGCCTGCAGGGCTGAACCAGGAATGAGCCCCTGAGCCTCCCTGGGGAGCATCTACCCCCAGCCCGGCACAAATTATAGTCATGTGAGAAGATCGCTTTTCCCACAGGTAAACTGCCCTTCACTTTTCTCTTTTAAAGATCCTTTATTGCTTTGCTAACTTCATTCCTGCTTTTTAGTTTTAGTTTTTTGTTTTCCCCTGCCAGGCGCCCCCACCTCGCCCCCGTCTGGCTGGGCACTTTCCTGTATTTAACATGGTCAAGAAACCTGAGCAGGGCATACAGCTCTAGATGGAGAGGTAGGGCGAAGGTTAGGATTTGGGGTCCCAGACCACCTGACTTTTCTCTCATCTCTAGGCTTTCCCAGACCTCCCAGAATCCAAGACCACAGCGAACAGACGTCTTAAGGGTGGCTAGTGGAATCCAGTTCTCACATCTCACTCTCAATTCAGTCCTAGTTAACCCCGACATGGCCAACTTCATGAGAACCTCGCTTCTGCTTCCGTCACACAATCTGCTGCCTTCAAGTGATGGATAACCCGGTGCGGAGCTGAGCAGACTGAGGGCAACCCAGTCCCCATCCCTGGGCCGTAGGAGCGGCGGCTTGCAGCCTGCCTCGCTGCAGCCAGCCCTCCCTCCTTCCCTCCCTCCCCGCGGGCAGCCTAGGGGGCGGGGGCCCCGCGAGCAGCCCCGCCCCCGCCGCGCGCCACCCCGGAGGAGTCCGTGGGGAGGAGGAGGCTCGCGCGCAGAGCGGGGGCCGCGCAGAGCGGGAAGGAGCGCGGGGAGCGGTAGGACCCGGCTGGCCCAAGGGCGCCCTGGCCTCCGGCCCGCGATAGAGGCCAAGAAGTTTGGCTGCTAGGGGCTCAGCGCCCCGGGGTCGCCGGGGTCGCCGGGGCCGCAGTGAAGGCGGCGGGGAGAGCAGAGCCATGGGGGCGAGCGCGGAGGCGGCGAGGCGCGCAGCTAGCTTCTGGAGCAGCACGGCCCTGGCGGCGCAAAGTTAGCCCGGCGCCCCGGGACGAGCGCCGCAGCCTGTGCCATGGGCGAGCACCCCAGCCCCGGCCCCGCAGTGGCCGCCTGCGCCGAAGCGGAGCGCATCGAGGAGCTGGAGCCCGAGGCCGAGGAGCGACTACCCGCCGCGCCAGAAGACGTGAGTGCCCCCTCCTGTGTCCCTCAAACTTTCTGGGGGGCGCCACGCGGGGAGACGCCACAGCCTCAGCTCCTTACCCCGGAGACAACTTGGAGGCTTCAAGGTTATGTCACCGGAGCGTCCGGGATGAGTCGGTGGCCCCGAGCGTAGTCGAGATGGGTCTTCCCCAAATGCAAGCGCTGGCACTCCACCCCGCTCGGGTTCCCGCGGCTTCACTGCGGGACACAGCCCCGGCTACTGCGCCGGAAACCTGTCGGCTGCTGAGCCCCCTCCCCGAGGCTGGTGCAGTGCTCGGGACACGGCGTTTTCCTGCAGAGGCGGCCGCGTCACTGTAGTGACTCCCCCTCCCCTCCCCTCCCCTCCCCTCAGCGACCTGCGGACTCTGCAAGCCCCGGGAAGGAACCGGCGCCGCAGATCCCCAGTCTCTGAACAGCACAGACCAGTCTGGGGACCCCTTCTCCGCTGCCAGATTAGCTCCCACCCGGCGTCAGCCTTGTCGCGACACTGATTGAAATTCAAACTGATCTCAGAATCTGAACCCAGCCAGAGCTAGAAGAGCTAGCTGGGACGAAATGCTCCCAGCAGGGGGCTCAGGAGTCCCTGACCACGACGCTGCCTGGAACGGTCCCCAGGGGCAGGCTAGGGAGGGGCTACACCAGAGGGCTTTCCTGCCATCTGCCGCTTAGATCTCTTGTCCACTGTCCTGGGAGGCGAGGTAGGATCTGGGAAACCCCGGGCCCTTGAGTTGATAAAAACTACTCCTTCTCGGCACCCTGCCTCTGACCTGTCCCTCCTTCAGGGTGAAATTAAGCCAAAAACCCCAACCTACAAAACCACAGCCAGCAAATCTGAATGGGCCGGGAGTCTAACATCTCAAAGGTGTGCGTGACTAAACCTGTCACTTTCTCCTGGCCCTAACTCCCGAGAGTCTTAGGTATTCAGTACTTAACACTCAGTCTTGGAAGCATGTTGGGGAGCACACACACACACACACACACACACACACACACACACACAGTCAAGCAGGCAAAATTAGTGCTCAAGCAGGGGTGAGTCTTCTGAGTAGAGTCCTCCAACAGACAGGATCTGAAGGGTAGTGCACGTGTGCTCCGGGAGTAGATGTGGATCTGACCTTTCGGTAGCAGAAGTTATCAGAAACCCGAAGACATGGTTGGGAATCGTCCTTGTTCTCATTCCTGCATCTGACTGTCCCACCTCCAAGACATCCCATTTCCACACCCTACTGTGCGTTTTCTGCCTTCACTCACACGGGGGATTTTCAGGTTTCTTTTGGTGGGCCCCTGAGCCTGGTTCTGACTGTTGGGCAACGGCTGGGAGGTGATGTCAGAAACCTCAGGGGTCTACAGAAACCTTGGTGATAAGTGCCTTTCTTTCTCTTCTTCCTCTCCCGCATGGCCTTCCTCTCTACCAGCACTGGAAAGTCCTGTTTGAAAAGGTATGTGAGCAGTTAAATACCTTTCTTCCTTCCAGTCCTGCCTGAAACCGGTCTCAGTCTCCCTGCCTGACTGCGTGGGCTTCCCTAGCTCGGTGCTCCGGAGATGGTGACGTGCTGTGGAGGCGTGGCTTAATACATATAGGGCGGAGCCACACTGTGCTCTTGGTATCCAGAGACAGCAATAGGCTCCCTAGAGAGAAATCTTTCCTGCTTCCAAATTCTCCTTGCACTATGGCTGGGCTTATACTACCCAGAGATAGGACAACTTGTATTAAAGTTTTCAATATGCAAGTGGATTGCAGTAGGAGGTTGGGGAGGTGGGGGAAGGAGCATAAAAGAAGCATTCGGCTCCTTTTCTGCTCCTACTGCTCCTATTATAAAAACTGCTTTGCCCCAGTAACATAAAATCTCTGTCATCCTTGGGGAGGAAGATCTACTCACAAAATGGGCTCCTTCGAAGGTTGATGTTGTGTCTCATTCCGCAGTGGGGATGGGCTAGTTACAAATGAAAAATAGGATGTGTTTATTTGCAGTGCCTGGAGTATATGAGGAGTGAAGTTAGAAACGCCAAGTGTTGGGTTTGAATCTGGAGATGGGCATTTGACCTTCAGCAGGGAAATAGTTCTTTTCTGCTTGGTACTTGGGTTCTGTTGGCTCTCCTCTCCGTGCTTGTACATAGTACAGGAGAAGAGATAGGAAGACATTTCAGTGTTGGTGGATTCTGAACACTTAAATCACAAGCAAGAGCAGCTGTGATATGAAGTTGTGCAACTTTAAGAGATCTGCTGTGTAAGGCAGGCATGCTGGCACACACCTGAGATGCCTGCCTTTGGGAGCTAAAGGCAGGACAGTCAGGAGCTCAAGGCCATCCTTGGCTATCCAAGCCTTTGAGGCTAGCCTGGGATAGTGAGTAGGGGGGTGGGGGAGCAGTTGAAAAGGCATCTTAATCAAGACCTTTGTTTTAGGTGGGAATGTTTTCAAAAAACTTTTGCTTGTTTTTTTAATGTGTATGGGTGTTTTGATTCTCTGTGCACCATATTGGTACAGTGCCTTCAGAGGACAGAAGAGAACGTCAGATCCCCCGAGACTGGAGTTGTCAGCTGCCATGGGGGTGTTAGAAACTGAACTTGGATCCTCTAGAAGAGCAGCCATTTCCTTAATCAGTAAACCATCTCTCCAGCTCCCTCCCATTCTTTGAAACAAGGTTGTTGTAGGACCCAGGTGACACTTAGATGCTGTAGCATTGAGAGAGGTGATGTGGGATACAGGGATGAAGGAACAACTCAGGAGCTGCTGACGTGAGTGAAAACAAGAACTTCCTGTGGCCAGGTTTCCACTCTCAGTATAAAGAGAAAAGAGATCTATTTTGGCTTGTGGTTTTGGATATTCTTTTGGGGACAGGGTTCGAGACAGGAGACAGGGTTTCTCTGTATAGTCCTGGCTGTCCTGGAACTCACTCTGTAAACCAGAATTTAGAAATCCTCCTGCCTCTGCCTCCCAAGTGTTGGGATTAAAGGTGTGCACCACCACTGCCCTGCGGTTTTAGATATTCTAACCTATAATTGGATGCCCCTCCCCCTAGCAAGGAAGCAAACCAAAGCAGAAGTATGTAGCTATCAGGGTGAAAGCCACTAGCCTCATGACCATGTGACAAAGAGAGGGCCCCCTTTCAGACATCTACAGTCACTTAAAGGCTTCTTATTAGACCCAAACTCATGTTTCTCCCACTTTCCAATAGCTCCAAGCTAGGGATCAAACCTTTAACACATGTCCCTTTGAAGGTGACAATGAGGTTGGAAGGGAGATACAGTTATAGGAAAATAGGAAATTATTAATAGACCCAAGTAGCTGAGGGGAACCACAACCCCAAATGAGATCTAAACTTGAGGGGAGAGGAGAAGGTAGAGTTGGGGGTTGGCAAAAACAACATCTTTCATTATACAAGTTTAATGTGGGGACCCAGCCAAATGCAATGGTCCCATGGGACTGAACATGTGGGCTCATGGGGAAAGAGCCTGGGTGAGGATCTTAGGGGATGTCATCCTTGATGCCTGGCTCCCACCTTAAGGGCCACCTACTCTCCCTCTGGTGCCTAGGAATCCCAGCTGCTTGGCTGACACCTCGAGGCAGGAGGGACCCATGGTCTGCTGCTGTTACTCTTAGCACCAGGCTGCCAGTCCTTCGCACCTCCTGCCAGATTTAGAATAAGAACCTAGAACACAGTGTGCCATGCCTTCCTTCCTCTGTGTCTTTCACATTTGACTAATTTCCTTTGCCAGTTTCTATGTGTGTGACTACATCTTTAAAAACAAACCATTTGGGTGAATGCAAGAGAACTTCCAGTGGGAAGCACATGAGCTGGAGAGCAGCTCCAAGCAGAGGGTGTGTGGCACTCGGTGTCAGGCATCAGCCTGTAAAATCCAACTGGAGGCAAGTCCTGGGCTCCCCCGCTTCTGGAGAGGCCCACACAGAGATCATCCAGGCTGGGGAATGTAGCTCAAAAGGAGAGCACTTGCCAAGCTCACACAAGGCCGTAGGCTAAATTCTCAGCATTGAAGAAATAAAAATAAATAAAAAATAAAAGGGAAACCCATCAATCATTCTAACAGGCAAAATGAGTTCTAGGAAAGCAGCCACCAGGTCTCACTCTGGGCCATTTTTCTCTTACAGTAAGCTCTGTCTGATTTTTTTTTTTTTTTTTGTGGTTTTTCAAGACAGTATTTCTCTTTTAGCCCAGGCTGTCCTGGAACTCACTCTGTAGACTAGGCTGGCCTTGAACTCAGAAATCCGCCTGCCTCTGCCTCCCAAGTGCTGGGATTAAAGGTGTGCGCCACTACTGCCCGGCCTGATTTGTTTCTTTACTTCTTAAGATTTATTTTATTTTTATGGTTGTTTTGCCTGCATGTCTGTATACCACGTGTGTGCAGTACCCATAGATTCCAGAAGAGGGCGTTAGATCCCCTGGAACCGGAGTTACAGACAATTGTTTGCTGCCATGTGGGTGCTGGGTATTGGACCCAGATCCTCTATAAGAGCAGCCAGAGCTTTTAACTGCCAGTGAACTTGGTGACCATGGAAAAGAAAGTTTGGCTGGAGACCCTGATAGGCTAGTAGTGAGTTAGTGAGACATGACACCTATCACAGCCATGTGATCCATGCATTCGTCTTCCAGAGGTTGTTCGTGGAGATGCTAGGGTCAGAGCCTGGACCGTGACAACTCTAACAAGCTAGACTTGATCATTCATCCTCTTTAGGTCGATTAAACAGACACACAACACAAAAGCAGAGAAGGGGATTTACTCAATGTGACCACCTTGGGAAAAGCAATAAAGAGATCTAGTGACTCTTAGAGAGAGTCCATCTTCTGTGCAGACGTGACATTTGGGTTTCAGAATTAACAGCTAAGTCATGGTTGAGATGTGCCCCCACACCCTTCTGCAACATCTTTCTCCCACTGTAGTTCCCCCCCCCCCCCCCCCCGCGGTCTGACTAGCTGTGAGAACTGCTTTCCTCACTTTTATGGCTGTAAAGAGACACCATGGCCTCGACAACTCTTATGAAGGAAAGCATTTGATTGGGGCTGGCTTACAGTCTCAGAGGGTCTGTCCATTAGTTGTCATGTGAGAAGCACGTGCCACATGCAGGCAGACACCATGCTGGAGCAGTAGCTCAGAGCTCTTGGTGTGAATCCACAGGCAGGAGGAAGAGACACTCAGCCTGGCTTGAGCATTTGAAACCCCAAGCCCACCCCAGTGACACACTTCTTCCAGCAAGGCCACTCCCTGGTGACCAAACATTCGAATCAACGAGCCTATGGGACCATTTTCATTCAAATCACCACTATTTCCTAAGTTCCTCCAACTCACTGGCACCAGGCTTCAGCCTTTCCTTCTCCCAGTGAGACTCCTGGGGGAAATTCCAGCTTATCAGTAACTGACCTAGTTAAGTTACTATTGCCATCATGAAACACCATGACCCAACATTACTTGGGGAGGAAAGGGTTTATTTGACTTACACTTCCATATCACTGTTCATCATTGTAGGAAGTCAGGACATGATTCAAGCAGGGCAGGAACCTGGAGTCAGGAGCTGATGCAGAGGCCATGGGAGGGGGTATAGGCTTGCTCTCTCTAGCTTACTCAGCCTGCTTTCTTATAGAACCCAGGACCACATGCCCATAGGCGGCCCCACTTGCAATGGGCTGGGCCCTCCCCCCCATCAATTATGAATTAAGAAAGTCTCTTATAGGCTTGTCTTTTTTTTTTTTTTTTTTTTTTTTTTTTTTTTTGAGGCAGGGTTTGTCTGTGTAGTTCTGGCTGTCCTGGAACTCACTTTGTAGACCAGGCTGGCCTCGAACTCAGAAATCCATCTGCCTCTGCCTCCCAAGCGCTGGGATTAAAGGTGTGCGCCACCACTGCCTGGCCACAGCCCAATCTTATAGAGACATTTTCTCAGTGGAGGCTCCCTCCTTTCTCATGACTCTAGCTTGTGTCAAGTTGACATGAAGCTAGCCAATACAGGAACTATTGTTTCAGTAGATATCCAAAGGGAGGGGTACAGAGTTCTTTTGAGCATAGCTTCATGCCTCCTAGGGTGGTTACAGAAGTCAGAGGCATTGGCGCCTAGAGCCACCGGGGCGGGCTGTGCCTTCTTTGCCCTTCCTGGGTCAGGGGGACACCAGTGGTCCTCTGTCTCCAGGGTGTTAAGGTGGAATTGGCTCAGCTCTTCTTGCCCGTTCTTTAATATGCAGAGAAGCCTTGTCCAGCATGAAGCTGACTGGCCTCCCAAGGGTGAGAAGTCACCATGTTAGCCTTGGTGGTTGGTGGCCACCCTTCAAGTAAATGGCCAAGATGCCTCCTGGGATTAGTGGTGAGATCTGATGACCCTGGTCTTTTGGATGCTTTTCTGTCCCCACTGTTCTGTCCTTTGTCTGGTGTGCTCGCAGTGATACAGCGGGACGAATTTTGCCGCTCCTTCCTCACACAGAAATCACCACAGGG